GATCCAGAAATGCCTGATCCAGAGATTACTCATGGTGAAAACTTTTGGAACAGCTGAGTTAGATACGAGGCATTTCTTTTTCCTGTGTGCTAAATTATGATGAGACAGTGTCACAAATTAACACAGTACATGCTGCCATCTCCAGCACTTGCACTATGATCACAGGTTGTGCTGCTAGTGTTGTACTATAAACTATTATGTGTAATCTTTTTCCTAGATGACAGATTCTTTGAACACTTCATGCTATTTTATGAGTCCTCAAATCAGACTGCATTCCTCAAGTAGGGATTAACTGGGTGAAATGTACATTAGCCTGCACTAATCAGCAACAGTTGCCACCAAACATCTGTGGAAAAAGCCAACATTGGCATTTCCAAAAAAGAACAAACGTACTAAATTGGTTCTTTTCACTTAGTATGAATCTATAATATTTGTATATCTACAACAGTCCAATATGAACATGAAAACTTGCATAATCTCAAGATGTTTTTATGATTAATCTATTCCATTTTCCATTTACTGAATCCTATTTTAGCTTCTTGATTTCTTAGGTAGGGGTGGAATCTTTTTGATTTCAGGAAATTATCTGTGGCCTCTGTGGCAGTTGGTTAACATAAATTTAAGAGGTGCTTTCATCACAAAGTACCTGAAAGCCTTCTAGGGGAGGAATAAATGTCCAGAGAGTCCTAGAATAAACCAGTTGAATACCATTACTGAACATTTTTATTTTCTAGCTGAATACAGAGCCAACAGAGCATTTCTTATGGTGAGAGGCAGACAAGTTTTGAGACGATCAGAGGCTCCTTGCAAGCAGATCCAGCAGACTGCAGGGCAGGACATTTGAGGTCCACCTTTGAAATGAAAGCTTGCAAAGTCTGCAATGTCCAGAAGGGCCCCGATTTGGGATACTGAAGTGGACAGGAGAGCATTTTCTTGCTCTAACAGGCAGCTGAAGTAGAGTTTAGACTGTAGATGGCCCCAAATATGAAGTCTAAGCCAACTAATTCCAAAAGGGACTGAAGGCAGATAGCATGTGACTGCACTGAAAGAGAAGTTTTGAATAAAGCAATTGTGGCAGCAGGCAGTTCTTTGGAGGCCTCGGCTTCATTCCCTGTATTGACATTGTGTTAGAATTTATCACTTGTTTGACCATTCATTGCACCATTCAGAAGACTGGACATCTACCAATTGTTAAGCTCTGTCGCTGGCAGCCATACTGTGTGATTTTTATAAACTACTAAGCTCCATCTCCAAGGCAATTAGGGTGTTTTGCCTCCTCTATTTATAATGGAAAACATTTGTAGAATGTAATTTTTCTACTGGTAGATACCTTTCACTGACTTTCAGATAATTCAAAGCCGTGTGAAAAACATTTGTCCGTGTGACAATATTTCCAATATCCTTTAACTGGTGTTTAATCCTCAGGTGTATTCACAGACGTTCTGTCCTCCCCATTCTCTACCAAAAACAAACCAAGCTCTTTTGGAGCTCATCATAGCTCGTCCAATGATTTGTGTTGACAGCAAGTGGGTTTTTATTCCCTTCTTTTCAGATAATTTTTTAATTTTGTTTTTGGATGGAACACTTGGAAAGCACTTGTTTCCTTAAAGTTAACAAAGGAATTTTTACATATTCAAAAATTTACATGGAACATGAACATTGTTTCTGTTCCATTCAAGATGTATTCAGAAGCTGTCTTTAAAAAATCATACAAATAACACTTTTGTTTTCTATGAATTTTAAAGAATTACGTAAATGTGCTATGCAACCTATTTCACTAATGCAACGGTGAAATAAAATTGCTAAATTAAATGGTGACAGGTGGGTGCCCATTTTAAGACCTCAAGTTTATTCGTAACTGTATTTTGTCACATAACATTTTCCAATTTTTGACAATTTTTTCCCAAATTAGCTGGTTTTGACAAAATAGCTGGATTTGTGGATGAAAGAAAGAAGTCATGGCTAAATGGAGAGCTAATGCTAACTTTAACAAGAAAGAAAAATCAACTCTTTCAGTAATTGTATTAGATATATAATCATAAGACTACAGATGTGTCTATGGCATATTTCTGTTTTAAGCAACTACTTTAACAAATAGTGATTCAGTGGGGAAAAGTCTGCAAGAAATAACCGGAAGGCATTTTTCCATGTAGATCTGCACACTAGTTGAAATAGTAAAGCATGAGTGAATTGTTGATTTCTTTCAGTTCTTTTAATTTTTTTATAACCATTGCTACCAGCTCCTAGTCACTGTAACAGTAAGTCACAGCTGTGAGGTGAGTAATCTGAGGATTAATGAAGCTTCAGCTTGAATTTTGCATCGTGTTGCTGTACATGACATAACAATGCTTAGTTCCTTCTGCTGAAAACCCAATCCTTATCCTCGAGCTTTCAATTTTGAACTTGCTCTATTGTGACTAGCTCTGTTGGTTCCTAACTCCATGTTACCTCTCTTACAGGTCCATTATCTTATGGTCTTGTCTGCCAACTGGGCCTATGTGAAAGATGCTTGCAGAATGCAAAAATATGAGGATATTAAATCAAAGGAGGAACAAGAGCTTCATGATATTCATTCTACTCGCTCTAAAGAGCGGCTCAATGCTTACACATAAAAGAAACCTTGTCTTACCTTCTAACGTATGAATGCTTTGTTGTTTAACTAAAGGCCATCCAACCATTTTAAAAACAATTGAAAGTGCTTCTCACAAAAGATAGTTAGGGTGACTTACATATCACCCATGTACAATTCTTGGTTGTCTAGCACTTGGTTTCTTAATTAGTTCTTACTTTGTGTGACCATTCTCTACCACAAAGCTCCTAAATAGCCTTTCCTGAATCCTTTTAGGCGAATTAGTTCTGCTAGATCAAGGATACTAAACTATTGTCAAATACAAATATGTGTTTGATTTTTTTAATCACTTTGTATGTGTTATGCATAACACCTTTTGCATTGTTTCTTATATGTTTTTTGAAAAAAAAAAAAAAAAGTAGCTTTTTATACTTTTTAGTTTTGAGTTCAATAACTACTTTAACTACAGGTATACTTCAAAGGGACCATTGTACATGATGTACAATATATAAAGAAAACATTGAGATGACTTTCCTTTATATTTGGAAAACTTGCCAGATGGACCCTGATCAACTTGAGTGAAGGTCCTAAGAACGTTTTAAACAATCTAAGGTGCAATTTCTAAATTTGTAATAGTGGGTAAAAAAAAAAAAAAAAAAAAAAAGAAAAAAAAAAACAGGAAAAAAAAAAAGAAAAAAAATTTAAAAGTGCTTCTTATCTTTGTTAACATTGTATTATTATTGATGTTTTTAAAGAATATTCTCTTGTTCCAAGTTCCATGGGTGATAATTCCTGTTTGTATTGTGAGCATGCAGCCCGTGGTGCTAACAATGCATGGCCACTTGCCTTTTGAAGGAATTCAATACCACGGCTACCTGTTAAAGAGTTATGGTATATAGACAATTGTTAATTAAGTGATATAGTTATCCATAGTTTTTTACAGAATGATCTCTCTTTAATTCAATGATGGTTATGCTAAATTGGAGCTGTTCATGTGATGATGTAAGAAATTAGTGCTTAGCTACATTTATGAAAGTAATATATCAAAAATACAGTGACCATAGGAGTCAGATATCTTTTTACCTGCTTTAAAAATTTAAATGGATTGCACCTGTCTGAACTGTAAAAGATATATTAAAGGAGACTTCCATAAATGTTATAGCTTGGCTTCTAGCTTTCCTACACATACTGGTTTACCTGTATTATGTTAAAGTAAGGTGAAAGACCACTACAGAGCTTATTATTTGAAAGTGTAGTAATATATTTGAACCTTTATTTTGATAGGACAATGTTATCAGAAAGATAGGTCATCTTAATTTGAAAGAATTACCTATATCAAAAACAAAACAAAAAACCCTATTTAAGAAAAGCCAGTATTATTGGACCAAATTTGGTGGATTTTTTTTTTTCCTATTTCTAATGCTACAAGAATGCTGTAAAGTGTCTTTTAAAGTGATGTAGCCTGACAAGACATTTTTGTCAGTGTTAAAAATCTTAGGTAGTTTTGTGCACTTATTGGACCATTGTGAATTCTCTCTCAGTGTAAGTGCATTTCTAATAAAACTTCTTGAGTAAAACTCTTCTTTGTACTATTACTAGTCATGCATCATCAGTAATTTTTAACAATTCTTGTAGTAAGTAGAGGGTAATACTATAGTTACTTGTGGCATGATAATGCATAAGTAGTATTAGTTGATTGAATTAATTTATTTTTATTTTCTTTTGCTTGTTTTAGGGGTTTTTTGGTTGTGTTTTTGATTTGGGGTTTTGTTTTTGGTTTGTTTGTTTGTTTTTTTTTTTAAACTTAGGCTGTCCTACGGGGTCAACAGTTTTCTGATAATGTGCAGTACCGGTATTACAGTTCTGCAAAAAGTATTAGGAACCTCTTTTGGATTCTATATTGAAGTGTTTCAGTTTTGTGTCTTAAAACGTTTGTGCTGATTTTTAAAACTATGTCTTTTAAACACATGTAATGATGTTAATGCTTTTGGCTCTTCTCTGGTATTAGAGTTTGTATTTTCACAAAGAATGCTTTGTAGCAGGCATTACAATTAATCTGTTTTGTACATAAATGTGCCAACAGCTTGATGGTGGCGTTTTTGAAATGTAGAACAAAGTGCTTGCAAAAATGTAATAAACACACTTGTGTACTTTGTGTACTTATTAATTGTTTGTGTCACATAGATTTTTTTCTTTGTTTATACCCGACAAATCATTGTAACCAGAAATGGAAGAAGCTTGTGGTTAAGTGAAATCTACAGCTGTGGCAATTATCATGATATCACTAAGGAAAATTAATTAAAATACAGTTCCACAACGTGTTTGTTTTCTCAGTTAACTAGCAGTTTTATAGTTCTTCATGTGCTCCTGATGAGAACATGTGCCATAATGGCAAACAATTTTTCATCAGCAGCACAAGCCAAGGGAGTAGAGGAGCTTCCCACACCACAGCACATCAGTTATAACTGATTCATTTCAAAGTCTGCACGTACTTGGTTTATTCCAGACTCTTCTGTTGTCAGTCTAAGCTGATTTTTCCTGAGGTAGGTTGTATGGATCTTGATTTCTATAGACTCTTCTGTGTTTAGTCTAAACCTGTGACTATTGTGCTTTTCAGAAACAACAAATCCAATTGTGTATCAATCCATTTGGTGCAGGTTTTTTGGTTTTTTGCTGCACAGAAGGGTATAGTCAAATGAAAATGCCAATTAAAGAAGTTTTCAGCCCTAGGTCCTCAGTTTTGCATTTTGTTCACAGTTTACTGTGCCTCATCAATGGCGCTAATACCATCTTACAAAACACATTCAAAAATTGAGTTAGAAATCCTTCCCCCCTCCCTGTTTTCCCATGCCCACATCACCTTTTTTTTTTTTTTTTTTTTTTTTTTTTTTTTTTTCTACAAGGTTATTTTATCCCTCAGCAGGACGGTATTGGCGTTTCTGTTTTCAGCACAACCACACAAGCCATTCAATCAGCATGATTTAGGCAATAGTGAAGTGCACCATAGATGTGGGGATGAGTGTCTACAGCAGGGGAAGAGAGAAAGGGAATTTTTAAGCCAGTCTCATTCCTGAAGCCAATGTGTAACAATTTGCTAATTTTACCTTCTAAATATAGTTACTGATACTATTTTTTTTTTGTCACAGGAGCTAATATAAAATGAGGATTTCTACTGTAATTGGAAATACATCCATAAATTCAGTATTTAAAATAATGTATGCAATTATTAATCTTGACAGCGTAATAATTTAAACTGTAATATGTATGCATTGATCATAAGTATTTGTTGAACATGAACATGATTGCAATTCCCCCTTAGTTACTATAGTAGATTTTAGGACACAATATTTCTGTACTGTACTTCCTTTTATTATCAATGTCAAAAGTTTATAGAGTTCTTTCCATAGATAAGATCCAATGCATTTTTCAATTATTCAGTTTTGGGTTACCCCAAGTATTAATATAGCTGGCTTTCTGAAGAACACAGCTAAATTCAGGTAAGCCATAAACCAGCAGACTATAATGCATCCCAGGAGGAAAAAAGTGGTGTTCATACAAGCTCTCTTTTAAAAGTAAAATTTTCTTTCCATTGGGTTGCACAGAAACCCTGCAAATATATATTGTTAGGCAGCAAACCAATTTATGTCTCCAAGTGATATGACATTTCAGCACTGCCTCTATTTTGAGTAGATTTCAATTGAAGAGTACAAGCTCAATGTACTTAATGTCCCACATGAATTCTTCTGACTTGTATTTTTCACAAGTGAGGAGCTTCATCAGTTTCTGAATTTTGAGAATTTCAACTATAGTTTCTTGTTCTTTCAGATATCTGCAGAGCTTTCCAGCACTTCAGAGGGTTACTTCTGTGTTTAACGGTTATTAGTAAAGATGGTGACAGGTAAGTGATTCTGCTGATACAGTGAGGGAGCTGGTTACTCATAGAAAGGGGATCATCTTTGGTTTACAGTAGTCTAAGCATCAGCCAGGAGTCTTGCAGCAGTTCTGCAGGGAGAAATCTGGCCTGAGAAAATGGCTCTGCCCATGTTGTACAAGCTGCTGTGGACTCTTTCCCCATGTCAAGCAGAGTCTGGCCAGATAAATGTGAGCTCCAGGGAAGATCATTTTAGTTACTCTTTGAATTGGCATTGCTGAACCTCCCATAGCTGAAAGAGATGATCTGGGGGCAGGCACTTCTCTAGAAGATGATTTGGGGGCAGGCACTCCTCTAGAAGTGGTGAGGTAATGTCAAACAGAAGCTCTTTTCACAGCAGCTGCCACAGCTATAGCAATAGTACAGCAACAACTGAAATTTAGCCACTAGATCTCAGTCATACTAAAAAAAAAAGATTTGAAAAAAATAACAAGAGTCTTGCACGCACATCCTATGGTTCTGCATGTTGAATTACTCAAGCCAGATATGCTGCGTAGGCCAGAAGAGTGATGATAAGAGCTAGATTTTCCAAAGAGTCTAAATGTTTTTTCTTCTCAGCTTTCCGGAAGAAATTATAGTCAGGTATGAATCACTCCCCTACAGTTAACAGCATATTTTTGTCTCTGAATCTGTAAGTCCTGCATTTTCTCAAATAGGTTTTCTCACCTGTATTTCTTCTTAAGGAAAAATATTAAGAACGAATCACATCAGGAACAAATTTATCCTCAACAAGTTCACGGCCCAGTTAAAACATGCAAATCAATTCCTGGAATTTTATCATTAAGCCAGTTTAGTTTGCACGTACAACCACAAGTTCCATCTTTTGGAATAATAAACCAAATCACATGGCTGGACACAGAGGCAAATAATCAGGTTCATCAGCTGGCTGGCTTGAGTTGGTTAAAACAGACTGAAACCTTTCTCAAGAAAGCAGTGTTGATGCCCTCATATCGATGCCCTCTTTTGAAACAGGAAATAACATGCTAGGCAGGAATACCTCATTAAGGTATTTAATTCATGTCTGTGTTCTCCTTTCATAATTTGCTTTTTATCCTTGACATGCTGTTCCTCGTGCCATAATTTTAAGTGGAACTGAAGGAACATAAAATTTGTTGCTACTCAGAAGGTGAGATCTCGCCAACGCGACTTGATTGGTTATGACATGGCTGGAAACAGGGATGAGGACAGTGAAAAAGAGCAAGATGGGGCAATGAAATGTAAGATTTCCCCCTTCCTAGTAAATCCTAGCTGCAAACTAATCAGTTTGGCTCAGACCTGTACCTCAGTTAAAGAATTATGTACAGGTATGCATTGTGGGACTCAAGGGCCGAAGGAGTAGTGAGAGTTTCTGACAAGGTACAGAGGGCAAATGCTACCTGGAACACACTGATTTTGGGTAGTTCAAAGCCATTTTTCTCCTTAAATGAGCAGATGGCCAAAATAAACTTGTAGCTGTAAGTCACCTTTAATTGTCATAGTAGGACCAAGTCGCTGCTGGTCTGGCCATGTGTTCTCAGTTTCCCTTCCCAGCATGAATAACATGCTGGCAGAGCAGATGTGTCACACATGCAGCTGCATGGAACAATCAGGTAGAGTTTGAGTCATTTAAGCAACTCGGGTATGAAGCAGAAGAGGACCACTGCTGCAGATGTGATCCTGGCCCCACTGAAGCAAGGTTGGATTTCACTAACACGAGGGAATAAAGTCAGGATTTGAGGTTGAGCGATCTGGGAACTCTGGTGTTTGTATCATTTGCTTGAAACCAAGGGAGACATGTTAGGATTTTTTGCAACATAAGAGTTAAAGTGATTGCATCTTTCATATCTTTTAAATACACACACACACACACACACACACACACAGAGTATATATAGTCTGATAAAATAGATTGTAATATACAGTTAATCAGTGCTTTGTTGTCTGAAATGGCACTATTCCAGTTATAGAAGAGTCAGCTGAGATCCTGCAGACTTTTACAGAATTCTGATGTCCTGTGGGCCTATAAGCCCATTGTCTGCAGTAAAAAATAGAATTAATGGGTACCTGGATAAATCAAATACAGTTGAGAAGACACAGCACAACTTTTATAACTGGAAATCTATTAACAAGTCTACTGGCGTCTTTTGAGGATGTCAGCAGCTAAGTGGCTATCAGCAGTCTCTTTCATTTCCAGTTTTAGATGTCCAAAAGGCTTTTGACATATTTTTTTTGTCAAAGTATTTTCAGACTAATAAGCCACAGGCAAGTCCTTGTATGGGTAGATGATTGGTTAGCAGATAATAAATAAGACAGTTCTTACACTGGAGGAAGGTCATTTTTGCACTCTGGGTTGTGGACTAGCTCATCTTTGAGGGTGGTTGTTCCTGATTCTGTACAGACACCTCCATCACTCTCAGGCAGAGTATCTGGACATTTCTGTGTTTTACAAGGATGATTGTTTTGGACTTCTCTGTCTTTTGGGGCACACAGCTCTCTTTAACTTGTTCCTAGCTTGAATTTGTCTTATCTTAGTCATTCTTTTGACCCAGGAGAAAATGTTTCTGCTGTAGGTGATGAACAGCAACTACTTTCCTCACTGAAGAGCTGCCACTTCTATTGCTCCAACACTTATCATTAGCTATACTTAGCACACCCGTATGCATCTCCTACTTCTTAGAAGTTCATAGCAGCTGTGTAGTCAGAGGATAAACCTCTGTGCTCTACTAATACCAATGTCACCCTTAAAGGAAAATAGGAAATTCAATGATTTTTTTCTCACAAGAAATGGCATTTATTTTATTCGACCATATTCATCAGATACTTGAGCAAACTGTAAGATAATCTATGCAAATAATAGCAGCTTTGATTCTTCTTTGTGAGCCTATTCAACTTGTTTTGATTTCTGCTGATAGCAGGCCTCTGGGCCTTCATGGTGTTATTTTTTTTCCCTTCAGATCTTCCAAACATCCTGACAGACATTTCTGTCATTAAGCATAGTAGCACTTAGGATTTATCACAGAATTTAACATGTGCAAGTACATGCACGAGCTGATTTTTTTTTCCTCTGTCTTTAACAAGCTAAATATTGTTCTTTCCCTCCCTGTACAGTATCTGGAGTGTAACCTCAGGTGCTGTAACTTCATGCTCACTTTCCCCTAACCCTTTTCCTGGTACTCCCGTAACCAACACATCACTGCCCCTGGGCAAACCGTTGCCGGGCCCAGCTTCCACCTTCACCTCTGCAAGTCAGGTCTGCTCCAGCTGCAAGCGGCTGAGGATGCCACTGGGATTAATTTTATCTGAACTTGTACACAGTTAAGTCTCTGCCACAATTACTCATTGTGCTTCTCCTCGCAGTTTGCAGCCTGATTATCCAAATTCGAGGAATAAGCAACAATGCGGACACTCTGTGAAGACTACGGAGAAGATGTTAACTAATGAGAAAAATCTGTGCTCCTTAAAGAAATGTCTATCATTCTTCAATATTCTTAGTGTAAAATAAGGGAACACCAGAAAGTAGGGGAATCTTTATATGCACAATATCATGTTAAACTAAAGCCTATGCATATTTGTGCTATGAAATACTTTTCAACTCTTATTCAGGATTTATTATTGTTCTTCAAAATCAAACAGAATCATAAATAATAATATTAGAGAAAAGAATGTTTTCCTAAATCTGGGGAGGGGTGTTCATTTGGGACAAAAGAGGTAATAATAAAAAAAAACCTTCATGAAAAAACATTGAAAGTAATAATGTGACTTCATAGCATGATTTATATCATATACTTAGATGAACTATAGGAGGTGTTCATTATTTTTCCTGAGGAAAAAGGTTTATTAAAAAAAGAGAATAAAAAGCCTCCCTACTTAAAATACAAGAGCACAGAGTAGTATTCAGGAATGACATGCATTTTAATCTTTTGGTAATTTGTGTATGATGTGTCACTTCTGCATTTTGACAATAAATAAACAGATTCATATATCCATTTATATTTCATTTCATTAAAATGTAATAGAGCCATGTGCATTGAAGAAGCTATCAAACTGTAAAATTCATCTCCTCTTACCAGAGGTTTCCCTGTGTGCCATGGGGAGCAGCAAAAGTTTATCTGCATTAATCTCTTTAACTGGATTAAATTTTTGAGAACAAAATCCACTCCGTTCCTGGACTAGTATATGGGACAGATCTGTGGAACAGGTATTTATGAATAGACATGCAGACAATTTGACTGTGCTCCAGAAGATTACAGTTAAACTCTGAGTCACAGGTTTTCCCAGGAGGCTAACTGAGAAGACTGCATAATTTGTGACTGATTTTAGGATCATAGTCCTTCTAATAATTCTATGGTTTTGTTTTATTTTATCTGACAGAAAAAAAAAATAGAGAGCCTTCTGAGCGAAAAAAAATGTGTTTGATCCAGCAATGTTTGTGAGTTTTTGGTCTTATGATAGACAGCTAATATTACACTTCCATTTGGTAAATGTTGTGGAGATTATTCTTCTCCGTTTTGAAGCATAGATCATTGTCAAGTAGTATAACAGACTCTATTGCCTTGAAAATCTGGTTGCAAAGTTATCATTTGCCAGAAGAAACCTTACTTATCCTTTTTTTTTTTTTTTTTTTTTTTTTTTTTTTTGCAGCTGCAGTCCTGACTTCATATACTTACAGCTGATCTAATTTAATTTCTTCTGTGTTGTAAGGAGAGACACTTTGTCAGCAACATTCTGTTTGTTTGATGTTGAAGTTTTTGGTCATTTTAAAAACATTTTATAATATATTTTTTCTGTATGAATTTTTGAAAATGCAATAAGCTCTATTTCTTTCTAAGAGGGTTTTTTTCAGGCTGAGAAATCTAACTAAAGTAACTAAATGTACTTAGGCTTTCTTTTCAAAGCATTATCATTTTAAAAACGTTTCTGAAGCTCAAAGTGAATCTTTCTTCTACTTAAATGATTTCATTCACAAAAAAACTAGAAGCAAGTAAAAGTGTTGTGGTGACACTGAAACTGGATATTAGACATATTTTCCTGTCCTGAATTACATGTCAGTGTGTGCTGCAAATAGCTTGTGGAGTGGTATTGATATGCTGGTTAAACAATCTTCCTATGAAATTCAGGCAGTTTATTTCTTGATGATCAGACCCATCAGACCTGTTTGATGTAAGTTAAATGAACATCAGTGAAGATTCTAATAGAAGTTAAACGATAATGGAATTATTCTTTTTTTTTTTTTTTTCCCCCTACCCATGTGAGAGAGCTCAGTGTTCTAATCATAGCAGTATAAAACACTATTGTTCATAAATTGAAAACATGTTAATCTTCATGCTTGTTCCTCATTACATTTAAGTATATTTACGTATTTAAAAACAAACAAAAACAAAAAACAAACCAAAACTAAAAATACAGCACAAGGAGATTATCCATGTAAGGTATTATTTTGAAGCTGTTAATGACGAGGAAAATGGTTGAAAGGGAACACTGGTAAATCTCATACCGAAATTTGTAGAATGCTGACCTCTGGTGGCAAAACTTAAACCGGAAAGATGTGGCTAATGAATCGGTCGCTTTAGGAGTATGATTTTTTAAATAATCGCTTTCAGTAGATTGTTCCAATGTGTGGTGTTTTTTTCTAGTTCTGTATATTTAGAAATTGTTCTGTAACATAGCTTAAAAGCATCCAAACACTCTGTCTTTCTATAAATATAGAGGTAGATATACCCCATAAACCTTAGTCATAATTGGTAAATTGACAGGAAGTGAATAATTAAAGGATTTCAGTGACTTGTTCATATTACCTGGTATTCTGAAAAGATTTAAAATTTTTCTTTAAATTTTAAATTTTTTTCCATCTGCTTTAGAAATGGCATTTGTAAATAATTGTCGTTGCAAGATAATACTCTGAATCAACCCACCCCATATATGACTCATTTACGTAGTATGGGGCACTTTTTTTGATATTATAGGTACAATTTATAACAGTGCTATTTATTATGCTTACTTATGTTACCTGGTGGGAAAACAGAGCTGCTAGCCTATTAGAAATACTTTATCACTTTCTAGATTAAACATATTTTCAGTTAAACTAATGAGTGGTAGTAGTGGCAGCTTCCAGCTATATCTAACACTTATTTGGCATTAAAACAACAACCACGATTCTAGATTCACTTGGAGTAGGGCTGTGCTTGGTTCAAAAGCCATGGGATTGTGAGACAACCATGTGACAGCTCAACTTGATAAGGATGATGGTAGGTGATGTTACCTCTGTAGACATGGAAGTGGTGTGTTAAACTGCCTTGATACGTAGCTAACCAAGCAGCTGTTCAAAAACAAGTTGTGTCATTGCTAGAGCTTAAAACATAATGGGAGATAGGCTGGATGATGCTTATGGTCATTTTAGATGCCTTAGGGTATCTCTCCTGGTCTTCAGCTACTACTCCAGAAGGACTGTCAAACATAACATGTGTCTCATCTGTTAGCCCTGTGAAAGGGTATCAAACACCCTAAAATGTGTAAAAGGACCCCAAGTTACTTAGGTAAGTGAGTCTTACATCTCTGGATCTCCAGTGTTTTGGCTGGAGCTTCTCAGCACAGGGAAGTCAGTAGATCCAACCCTGCTGCTGCTGTCTCTGGCTCAGCCCTTCAATCTGGGCTGCTTGGCAAGACGACAACACAGGCAAATCCATCTGTGTCTCTTCCAGCTCTCACAAAATCCCAGCTGGAAGAACAACGTGTATGTACATCATACATGTAGCCCTACTCTTCATATAGCATTTCTCCTTAACAGATAATTAAAATATAGATCTGGCTTAATAAGGAAAACAGAAAGGTTTACACCTTAGGGCAGATGAAAATCTTAACGCTTCATGTTCTGGTGCCTTCATAAAGCAGACTTACTTAGTGACTGAAATGGAAAATAATAATTATATTTAATGTTAAGAAAAATATTTTTTAAAATTGCATTAATTCAGTTCATCTGTGTTTCTTTCAAATGAGCGGAACCTTATCAGGAATTAAGTCATTATCAAACTAAGATTTTGGCAAGAGGAGTGAAACCTCTGGAAGAAAAAAAAAAAAAAAAAAAAAAAGATATAAATGCTCAGCATGTAATTTTCTTAGCTCTTTTTTAGTTCAGTTTGGTGACAAATAGTCCCTTCCCAGGAAGAAACTTACAGGCTAGCACAAAACCAGTGTTCTAAATAAAAATGTCAAAATATATTCTTCTATTTTTAAGAATAGCAAATGTGCCTTTGCCACTGCTTAATTTTAGGATATACTTAAGTTTAATTGCATATAGATATTGTCTAGGTAACAACAGCTGGCCTATTTACATCTTGATTTCTTGTTTGACTGAACCAATCATCAAGCTGAATTGGAGATGTTCCTCAGAAAAACTTGATTCCTCCTCCAAAGTAAAAAGCATAAAGAACTTCCTTGTTGGTCATAAATATGTATTTATCACTTCTGGAGCCCATCACATTAAGACTTTCCAGATATTCAGACTAATTTTATTTGAATATAGTATATTGTACTTTTGTCTTTAATGAACTATTTTACAAAAATTTTCAATTAAGCCCTTGCATCTCCTTGCAGGGAACTGATGTTTCAAAGAACAATGTTCTTCGCTTTAGTAGTTTGTTTGTTTGCTTTTTTAAGATTCGCAAAAAAAGAAGAGATGTATTGCATATGATTTCTCAACATCCTGAAAGAAAGATCAGTAACTGTTACCATAATTTTTATTCGGTCTAGTGTACATGAATAAAATGTCAATTATCTCTTTCCAGAAATGCTTTGATTGGTATTGAAAATCACTTCCTTTTGCTGTGAAGCCTTCTTTTACTTGTCAAATTCTGCATTTTCTTTGATGTTATTTTGATCACTTTTAACATTATATTTTCCTGTAAGATTTAATTTGGTAATACAAAATCCTGCTCTGCCAGATGTAAAAATTTAACAGATTAATTAATCTGTTGCCATTACTATATGAAAATATAGATCGTTAATGGAGTAATATGATAATGACCTTATTCTAACTGGTATACTAATGTAAAAAGTAATTTGAGTATAAAATATTTATTTTTAATGAAACATTACTTACCTATCAACAAATATTTCTTGCCAAAATCAAAAAGGACAACATTCTTTTAAACATTATTGGGTAGAAGATGTGATGTCTTCCTTAAAGACTATTCACATTTGAATGATTATTTTGGGAATCATGGGGATCAGTACTGTTTAGGGTTCATATAGATAAGAGTATTTGTAAATATGACTGAAAAAATCATAAAAGTATATGTGTTAAAGGTTTTTTAAACACAAAAATATTATATTTAGAATATTAGTCATTTGGACCATTTTGGAATTTAGTTTTATTTCAGAGAGGTGGCTTTGGAAAGTTACCATGACAGACTCAAACCCAGTAG